CACAGGTTTGTTTACAACTTCCTGGTATCAATGTCATTTCCGGACACTATCTTTAAAAGACCATTGCCTTCACGCTGATTGGAGTAAAACCGGCAGCAACCGCAGCTATTGGACCAGTGTGATAGAAAGGCTTCATGCGATAGGTTAGAAAATGTAAAGAAACGCCTATATTCAAAATTCTTGAGTCTGATTAGTCTAGCGTCGTGGCATTCTATTTCACTATGCTAATTGTGGGAAAATATATATCGGAGTAGAAAAAGTTAATTTCCTATTTTTATGAAATTACGTTCCCCTTTTTTGTTATATCTGGTCTAATATGAGTCATTTTTGCTGCATATGTATCTATGGCTAACTTTCAGAAACTTCTGAGGTAAAAGTTGCATGGCTGTCAAATAATTACTTGGGTTTTTTTGAGTTATATCCGAGCTAACGTTTGCTACTTGTTATGTATGTGTGGGTTGACTTTTTTTTATTTGCTAATTTTGACCAACTTCTAATTAGCTTATTGTTAAACTAATCGTTGTTGAACTTAAACGTCCTTTAAAAATGTAAATTTATTTCTCAAGAGTAGAGAGTTACAGTATGTAAATTTTTAGCTGTTTTAGACTATCCGTTACACATCATTGAGCTATGTCTTTGACTGTTTGGCCAACATTCAGGTTTCCATGGCTTGCTTGAAGATTTAAGAAGACAGAAAAAAACACCCTTGCATATACAACGTGTAGTTCAAAACTCCTGTCACGCAAGGACAATTCAGATATTTCAAGGACATTTTGACTCCATACTAAATTGTGATCCAAGTATGCAACGTCACACATCCCACGTCACAGTTTGGAGCTTTTGCAGGAAAAGTGTTTTGCACCCTCATGAATCTCCTCCATGTGGTTGTCCTGCGCACTGAAGCTGATCAACAGCCAGCCCCTCCATCTGCACTGGGTTCCTCCTCTCTGCCACTTCAGGAGGAGCAAGAGGACAGCAGTTCACTTCACTTTAGTGTAGTGGAGACCGTTCAAACTACCAAAGTATATATTTCCTAATATTTAAAAAAAAAACTTGTGGAAGTACTAACTGAGGGATTGTCACGTTGTTGTGTCGAGTGGAATGAGTCCTCATTCTCTTGGAACTGTTTGCACTATAACCGGTTTGGAGGAGGTGCTGAGGCGCGGCAGCGGATGGAAACAGAGAGGAGCAGCAGCAGCAGCGCCAAACTCACAATGCACTCGGAGTGAACACAGGCAGGGACACAATACAGACCCGCGGAGCCACTGAGGAGCTGCGATCTCTCCTCCTGACTGTCTTCTGTCCCCAAACCTCTTGTCCACTGGCATTGTCTCCTCCGCTGCTGACTGACTGACTGACCGAGTCATTGATTGAGACAAAATTGACTTCGCTTCGAGGGAGAGCAGAGTGGTCTGATCTCCAAACTCAGCCATGACGTCTCCGGCAAAATTCCGAAAGGAAAAGGAGATTGTGGCCGAATATGATACTCAAGTAAAAGGTAAACTTTTTTTTTCTTCTTTCGGCGTCTCGTTTGTTTAGTGACAGAATAATCACTCTGACGAGGTAAATGGTGTGTCTTAGTGATTTCCTATAAACCCAATGTGCTTCCCACGACTTGGCAGATTGCATGGTTTTTCCCTTGCAGCCGTCCCTCACAGCACCGATCAGGCGTAAAGAAGGTTTATGTTCGCCTTTGTGTTCTACTAATCATTTATGAAGGTTAACCGTCGCCGAGGACGCAAACAATCAATAACATTGAAATTGTAGCTTTTTTGGGGGGGAATATCACCGCGATCAGCCTGTTTGATCGCTCCATTTTAACTCGGCACAGATAAGCAACAAAGGCAGGAATAAAAGAGCACTCTTAAATCAGCACTGGTGTCCAGATCTGGACACTGTTGTGAGTGTCCGTGGAAAAGAAGGGACACGAGAAAGTGAGTGTGTCTTCAGTGTGGACTATCAGAGGACTGGGGTTTCGACAGGGTACAAGGCAGGGCGTTTCTCCCTCTGTCTCCTGCTGCTGCTGCTCGTGTGCACTGACGTTCATTCCTGCGGCTGCAAGTGTGTGCGTGTGTGAGAGAGAGAGGGCGTGCGCGTGCGCGTGACTGCTGATTGAACCTGGGTTGCAACGAAATGATCAGTTTGTGCTCAGGCACATTCGTGGATGACCCTTCATCAGAGCCGCTCTTGATGTTGATGAGACAGGAGGACAAACTGTGCAGATGTTAAAAATAGGAATGCTAAGTCTGATTAATGTGTGACTGCAACTGTCAGCTCACTGTATTTACCCAGTACAGCCAGTCGGGATGACAACCATAGAAACACTACCACTGGACCACTGGCTATCTCTGCTGCAGACTAAAGTTGCAAGGTGAATCCCTTTGAAATGAAATACCAGAAATAGACAACATTGTTTGACTGTGAGTTAGATACCACATTTGAACGACTGCTGAATCATCCAGTAACATCAGCAAAGACACATCAAGTGTTTATATCTCCACCAATAGGATATTGATGAAGGCTAACTTCAGAGCACAGCTGTTACGTCCTGTTATACAGCACATCACTCATACAACTTGTCTACCTTTTATTTCTTTCTACGTATGTGATTATAATTTGAGAAATGAACATTAAGAGTTTAATGTGAATTTAAGCCATAGGATCAACAGGACAACGTTTAAACGTTACCATCATCAGGTGAGTCAGCGGTAACCACATTCTACGTAGCCTTACATATAGACCTTGAGAGCTTAGTGAAGCCTCAAGGCTTTTTCTAAATTCCATGGTGGGTAAAGACATGCTGTTAAGGGAAGAGGAAGCACAGAGGTGGCAGGAAAGGATTTGCAGAACAGAGAGGACAGGATGCTCTCTTCCTTCTAAGCTACATGTCTCAACTGCTGCTGCAGGGCCTAAAATCTTGTCTTCCCGTAATGTCCCAAGTGCCCAGCTTGAGACAAGGATATACAAGTTTACTATAGGTAAAGGCTGAGTAAGAGCTGTGACCAGCTTCAACATGTCTTCTTTGAGGTAATTTATCAACACAGCTGAAGTTGCTCTGCTTATTGCAAACACTGCCCAGTTATTGCGTTCAGCCTGACCCGTCATCAGGAGTCCCCTCAGTCTTACTCTGCGTAGTTATTTGGTTCAGTTTTTGCACCACATACCCATCCTTAGGGGAGCATTCAGAATAGAACATTTTGCATGGTAGGTAGGAATCCTACCAGCAAAAGTGGATTCCCTTAAAAGAAGGTGCCAAATGGAGGTTTGTATTAAGTCTAGGGCTAGGAGTTATTTTCAGAACAATCCAAACATGGACTGGTCCACCCACCGATTTCTTTGTGATTCTGGTTTGCTTCAGAAAAGTCCGACTATATTTATTCAGTGATGTAACAACAGCTCTCAACAGTTTCTTTTTAAATTCTATACTGTATATACAATACTGTATGTGTTACCCTTTGCAACTGTGTTCCGTAGCACAAGTGTTCTTACCCTTAGCATTGAGCGACCAGGTAATGCCGTAAATATGCATCATTTCCAGGCTCCTTAAGTCCATATTGGTCCCTAACGTCCTCTATTTCCTTCTCCTGTGGAGCAGCTGCCTCCTGCGACCTGGCTTATTAGAGCAGGAGATTAGCAAAGAGAGTTATCATTGATTTCTGGAGTTCATTTAATCTAGACTGAGGTTTATCTCAGTAGGTTGTTACGAACTATCATGTCACCAAATACAGAAGAGCCAGCAGGAAACTTAACACACGTGACTGCGGACCAACTCTTATTAACTCCTTATGTTTACCTGCTCTGTTTCAAACTCATTCTGCTGTCACCACAGTGACATTAGTGTCCCGACAGACTGCTGTTTATGCTTGGCAGCCTGTGTTAGGCCTTCTGTCTGTGCTACATTCTGGGAACTGTCTGTTGTGTTTGGCAGACAGTGGACATAATGTTTGCCCATTGCCCCTCTGCA